ATGATTCTAGACTAAAGTAAAAGATAAGAAATAGAATAGCTGAACAATTGCTACCCTAACTAGGAATAAGCCTATCATTAAGAAATCTTGATAGCTGAAGATTCACCTATGCCCTAATCCCTGCCATTACAATCGTTCTGCATTTTGCCAGTGAAGCGAGCATAACTTGTAATATGGTAATTGCTAATTTATTTGCTCATTTAATTATAGAAGTAGAATCTCGAAATCTTGAAAAATCTTTGAAATTTGTTTTCAGCTTCGAAATTTTTATTTTTCTATCTTTTTAATTTATTTGTTTTATAAATTTAATCGTTTATAAGTTATTTATAAGTTTATAAGTTTATTTTAAAGCAAAAGTATGAAAAGAGAAAGAAATTATATTTAGAGCAGACTCAGAGCAGACTCATCTGTGAGGGTATAATTAGAAATTTACGATAGAATTCTTAAAGATATAGGTGGGTCCTTAGCACCACCCAGATTTTTTAAATGGCAAGTACATTCATGTCGAAAATCAAATCGCGATTCAAAGTTATGCAACTTTACTACTATCATTGCTGCATTAATGTGGTATACATAGAAAAGTATTTTTCATTGGTTCGACCTATTTCACTTTTTTGAAACTGCAAATTAAATTGAGGTTTTACAGAATATCTTTTAATGGATGCATCAACAAAAAGTGGTACAAAAAGCGTAATGCGGATGCAAAAATATTCTAAAATAAAAAGAAATTTTGGATCGTTTTTTTGCCAATTTTGAAAATTTTATAAAAGCAAAAGTAGTTGTAAAAAAATGCTGCTAACAGCATTTTCATCCTTAAATTCTTAGAGATGCCTTTCATGGACATCAGTTAAAAACATGAAATGGACGATTTGCTCAGTGAGAATCATTTCTCATCCAGATGGTTCTCATTAGAAATCTCCTCTTTCTACTTTGTTGCCTAATTCATCAACCATTGAATTTCTTTTGATGATCGCGCAAATTTTAGCCCATAAGAGGCTCACAAATAACAATTATTTTCGAAATATTTCCACTTACTAAATGAAGAAGTCCATATTCTATTGAAAATAAATATACATAAGTAGATAAATTTTCTAAGATTTTTAGTTATTTTTATTCCAACTTTCAGAGACCTTAACCTCATAAAATGATATTATGCCTAAGACATATTTACAAGAAAATACTAAAGCATAAAACGCAAGAATCTCAATTCAGAAGATAGAGTTGTGATTTGGTCGAAGGTGGTTAAATTTTTTGGTTTTTATCTACTTATTTCCTCAGGTCTAATCTTTTTTACATAGCAATTCTGTTAAAAACTTCAATTTCATCATTTCTGGTTATATTCGCTCCACTGAAGAACTGTTATCATTTAGTGATAAAGGTACAGGTGCATATTTCTTAATGAGAAATTTACTCTTTTCGGAGTCGACCTTGATTCGTGAGATGGTAATCTAACCGATGACCATTTGGCTATCCTGTTCTGTATTAGTATAGTATTGCATTTAAACAGATAAAGGATAAAGGATATTAGTCAATCCCGGCCAAATATTTTGGAAAAAAATTCGACGAAAATAAAATTTAGCTGGAAAATGAAACCAAATTTAATATGTTTAACGACTTTCTTTTTCTGAACATCTGCTTTTTTAACAAAAACAAATAAGAACTTAATATTTCGCATTTTCTCTGATGCCATTCGTTATTGCACATATGCTTATTTTTTCGGTCACTTCCATAGGCCTCCCAATGAAGACTTCGGATCAGTAGACTTTAGGAAAATTTACTTTTAATAGAGCTTTAAATTACTGCGCAATTACTTTTTTGATCAAATATTGGTCAAATAATTCCAAACATTCGAATTCTTGATCTCCACTTTACTCACAAGGAGTTCCATTAGTTTTGAAAGATGGAAAGGTACATAAAGGTCTATAAATGGAAGGTGCATAAATTTCAACCATTAGGTGATTTCAACGGTATAAATCATGTAGACTTTCAATTCAAGCATTATAATTTGATACTTACCATTACAGCTTGTGTTCTTGTGTTATTTTGCGATTTAAAAATTCTACATTTCTACATGTTACGTTATAAACAGAAAAAAGATTTATTCTTTATAGAACAATTTCGTAAATTCCCTTTTGGAAATTAACTTTAAAAATTCTTTTTGGTCGCTTTAAAAAAGTTTACTTAGAAATTTGGTAAAAGGCATTTATCTTATGACGTCTACTCTTTTCATTCGCCTTTTATTTCTTTAATCCAAAGCCATAAAATTCTAAAATTTTTAAAATTCTCCTGAAAATTAGAATGAAAATTCCAGTCTATCACGCACTCATCCCATTTTTGAAGTTTGCAAATTGTTTGGATTCACTTAATTTTACACAGAAGTTGAAGGAACCTTAGCAATATTTATTTAATTATTTTTTTATTATTTAATTATTATTTAATTATATTTATTTAAAATTTTACTATATTCGACATTTACGAATGCTTTTTTTTGATTTGTTTTGTTTGCAAACGGAAAAAAGGCTTGTAATCTAACCAATTAAAAACTTTTATCATACTGAGGAAAATAGGTTGACTAGAACTCCCAGTGATATTAGAAACTCCATGTTTATTGATGATTATGTTGCGAGTCTTACCAAAAATTGAAACCAACACATTGCTAAAATTGCAATAATTTTGCCAGTAAGACCTTTCTTCTACTTGATTTGATTTGCTAAGAAGAATCTCTAGCGCATTCTACTTTATTGTACTTCACTTCTATTATCGTTTAAGTCATTTTTACCGATGTAACCGTAAATTCCAATTAGATAAGCCTTTTTAATAACTGGCGAATTCGGGAAATTTCATTCAACCGGTTGTTTTAATTTTAATATTGATGATGACGAAGAACAAGAAAATTGATAGCCGTAACCATAATAACAATACGTGCAAATGGTTACGTTGAGCCAACAGTGAAATCCACTCTTATTTATGGTTTTTTATATTTATTTCCATGCTCTTTTAGAGCTACAATGCTTTCAATATTCTTCTATTTTGAATTTGATCTCTTTTTGTCGTGTCGAGTTAAAAGCTAAACTCTTTAAAGATGCGAGATAAATGGAAAAATTAAGATATTTGTGGAGTCATTCATTCCTTATGTTCATGTTTTATTTTTTATTCTTTCTTCTTCACATAGCAATCATCTATGTCTTCTCTGGCTCGCACTATTAGAATGAGAAAGAGTTACGATAGAGGCACAAATTATCCCCAGCCTGCAAGTTGGTTGCATTTTTAATGCTAACAAGAGACAAGAATCTGTGATGGTGATGGCTTATGCTTAGTAGAAATAACATCATTCAACGATTTCCTAATAATACTTTTAATACTTTAGTTTTTTAATACTACTTTTTGAGTGAAAAATTTATCTTTAAATAAATCTTCCTTATGATCTTCTTCATAAAAACATATGCGATATAATCCAAAAATCTACGTATTGTGTTTTATGTAATTATAATTATCTATATTATATTATATAGTTATATAAATTATTGAATTTGTTGAGGCCGAGAAAATTTTTTGTCGGCAATAGTTTTTGTCGATAAAGTTTTTGCCGAAATGGCTTTTTTTTGATTGTTAGGGCAGTTGAAATATTTTATTTTTGCCATTTTTACTCGTTACGGTTAGAAATATTTTAAATGTTAATCACATTTCACTGTATCATTTTATTAAATAATGCTAATAAAAAAAAGTACATGGTTAGGTATTCGCTATTTCTGATTAGGCTAGCTCGTGGCTGTTAGCATATTTACAAATTTTACAAATAGAAATTTCCTCGGCGACAAAATATTTTTTTGTGGGCTTATGTTTTTGCAAAAGAAGTTTTGCGATTTTAACAGAACGAACTGAAAAAATATGTTTATATAGATTCAGAAAGAACTGATATAAACCAGTTAGTCGTTGTTTGAATATTTAAGTGCAAACTTAAATCACGCATATCACCACGCAGATTTTATAGCAGCGGGTTTATTCTGGATTTGTTAACAGTAGGTTTAATTGTGCTTGAGGCAAAAAAAGCGGACTCTTGCCTCTCAATTAATCAAATACCAGATGTTTATCAAATTTTTCTCATTTAAAAATGAATGAGTTTTTCGAATTTTCGTTTTTTAAACTTTTTTTTTCTTCATATATCTATCCAAAATGATTTAACATTGTTAGTCGCTAAAAACTATTGCTTTAAACTATAATATTCTTTATTCATTCTTCGATACGCTTGTTGTAAAATATGTTCAAATCTTATTATTTTTCGATTTCGACTGATTCAGCCGTTTTTTTCACAATGAAATTAGTTTGATTCATTTAGTACCTTTTATCATCAACTTTATTCGTACAGAATATAATGCAATCAGAATTTCATGAAAGTGATAGTCGACGCATCTTTGGGAAATTTTCGCAGTTTTATCAGCTGAGGTATTCGGCGTGGGCAAATGGATACGAGAAAAAGCATTAAACATAGCAAGCATTTTCCCAAGATTAGGAAGAGAAATCATTCAGATATATAAGAGATTTTTGAGAAATCTTGATCTGCATTTTTTTTCATTATGTCGGAACTATTTTAACAATCAGAATTTACATGATATATAACTTTTGGCTGTAAATTGCTTTCTTCTGAAAATATCAATTATTTCTATTTTAGCTTGTTATACTGGCTATTAAAATGAGTCCCCTTCATCAGGAAGTACAGAAGTACGGCTGTCTTAACTACATGCTTTTCAATTTCAGCAATAGATTTACTCTCATCAATAGACGGGAAGCGAACCCATGATACTCGACGAGCAGTGAACAACTCGTCCTATTACGCATTTCAAAACTTTTTTTTTTAATTTTTTAATTAGTCACGAATTCGCTGTTTCGTATAGAAAATTCTATTTCACCGTTTTTTTTTTTTTTTTGTTGAAATAATTTAAAACTTGAAATGAAAAATTGTTTTATTATTTTAACAACCAATCTATTTTTTAGTGCTTCAGATGTTGAAATACCAAATTCGACCATCGAACCGTTTGAATCATCATGGTGAGTCCTCAAAAAGCCTCTTTGTACCCGATGGTAACCCTTCTTCCTCATGTCAAGATACCGTTCACATTTTCAATCGATCGAATTCCCTAACTTCGTTGAGCTCCGTTGAAAGTAACGAGTCGAATGAATGGGTTAGTTTTTCTCATATTTTCTATTTTTAATACTTTTAATTTTTTTGAAATGATATCATCCTAAATTTTGTAAATAATTTGTAACTAATAAATATTTTACTGCTTTCTATTTCTAAATTAAATTATTTGATTATATCATTATTATCATTATTATTGCCCATTCTTTTTTTCTTTCTTCTTCTGATAACACTCGAAGTTTGATTTGCTCCACCGTCTATTAGAATCTATGAGAATCTATTCGTTTAGGTGGTGGAAGTACAGTTGAGCCTCCAGTGCCACCTAAATTATTGTTGAATATTATTTTGCTCATTATTATATATTGTTATGATTTTATTATTTATAATTCTTTTTAAAAATATTATTTATTATTATTGTTTATATTATTATTATTATCAATACTTACTGATGCTGATTTAGAGGATAAATCAATTCGCTGAATAGATTTTTCTGATGTGGATTTTATAATAATAATGACTATAAAACAAGTTTATACAGTAATTACAAATAAAAAATCATGTGATAATGACAAATCCTTCCAAATCTCCACAAATCTATCACTATTTATTTGTCCAAAAATAAAATAAAATAGGTAAATTTCATAAGCCTTGAATTTCTCCAATCTGAAAATGACTTTAAAAAAGTGGATTAATTCAACTGTTTTGGCTAATTTATTCTATTTGATAGGTAAATATCTTATTTAGCAAAACATATGTCACTTGTGCTCAAAAATATGTTTTGTGAGTGAATATACACGTTAGATTTGACTTAAATATTTGCCATGTATTTTAAAAGTACAAATGTGAATGTTAGCTATGAAAAGAAACAATTTTTTATCACGAAGAACTTCTTGTTGCATGCGAACAATACATCAAATACCAAAAATTTTGTGCGTGGAATATGTTTGGCACTATTTCTGAATAAAACCGGGCACTTTATAATCAAAATCCAGCACTGGCATTTCCAAATAACGATTAGTCATTTTAGGGAACATTAAAATTATACATGGAAAATGTAAAGGCCGATATCGATTATAAGACGCTAAAAATCTCGACAAATCATACCGTTCGAAATGTTATCGAAAATGTTATTTCAAAATTTCGGTTTTCATGCCGTGACATAAATTTATTCGAAATATTGATGGAACTACGAACCATGATTGATGGACAAGAAGTAATTTTTTCTATAAAATTTCTGGCAATTAATGAGAACAATTCTGCGGTAGTAAAAGGAAATAAAGAGAACATTAAAGATCGGGCAAATTCTCTAAAATAAAGCTTGGTTTCATCTCCTCGTTCCAAGAGCTGATAGCAATTAAGGTGAAAACATTACTATTGCTCGGTCCAAGCTGTCACCCACTGGAACTTCAACGATGCCATCCGTCAGATATGTCTCGATTCATGTTGACCATGAATCAAAATGCAGTACTTGTTCGAATTTATGACTACAGCATAAATGATGATGTTAGTTGCATTTTCTTCTTAATTTTTTTCCAATAAGTTATTGAAATAGCTAATTGGAAAAATATTCTTTCATCTCTTTAATACAATCTTTTTGGAACCCGTCATTTCTTAAAGTGAATTATGTTGAAATCGATTAATTTTAATCAGTGAGGATACCCTTACTTTCGTATCGTGTAATTTCCAAATCAGCTGCTTGTTAAACCATAAAATTTACCCGCCTTATTCATTTTCTTCGATTATAATTTATTAAAAATATCATTTATTAACGTAATATTATCACGAAATATTTCTGCCATATTTTAAAAAGTTATAAAAACAAATATTAATTCAAAAACAAATATTAACTTATCAGTTTATTAAATTCTTTGAACCATGCCGGTGATCGCCGGCTTGGTGATAAGATCATAGGGCTAACAAGGATAAAAAATTGCTGGAGTTCAAGTCCATTCGTTGCATCATGTTTTGTTGGGAGGGGGGGAAGGGGACGAATTTTGCGAAACGGTGAAAGCGAAGTGAAATAGGATAGTTCAGGGGGGTTCCTCATTTCGGAGCGCTAATGTTGCGTTATAGTCGTTTAAACCTGTATTTCAAAAATCTATGTTAGCCTTAATTCAGCTGCAACTATCACCAACTCATCGCGAAGTGATTCCTTAGCAAAATTTGTTTGTTTCGATAAACCACTAGAGCGGATAGCGGATCTAACCAGCAATGGTGAGCCCTCTCTGAAAAAAAAAAAGTAGTATGTTGTTAGTTAAGTAGCATGTTGTTTGCCAAGGCATTATGGATTTCTATTCCATGATGAAATTGAAATCTAAAAATACATCTCTTTTTATCAAAGGCTATCCATCCGAGAGACCTTATCCACACTTAGGCTTCAACCTTACAATCAACCTTACAACAAGCCAAACTAGAAATGGTTAGAAGAAGGAGATTCTAGTTTTATCAGCTTAATTAAACCTTTCTCTCATAATAGTTGTTTGTAGAGTAATTATAAATCATTACTATTATCGCTACGAACAACTTGTTATGATGCTATCTCGATGCTGTTAACAATAAGTCGTATGGATCGAAGTCCTAGCAGGTATAGATTATTTATCGAAACAAGGCCTATCGAAATGCAGTTCTGCTCCTATAATATTCATTCTTCTTCTAATAATACGGATACATATGGTCGTAATAACAATGAAATCAATCAAAATAGTGATGAAATTGGTATGAACGAATTTATTGCTGATTTCTATCTTAATCTTAATTCCAATCAAATTATTGTTATAAGGCGAATTGTGTGAAAAATTTCTTTATGGATTTTATTCATGGTTATCTTAATAAAAAATTTAGTTTCGTAATAAATGATAAATTTAATAAATAATACTACTGCAGAGTATTAATTACAGTATTAATCCAATAATACTACGGTGTAAATTTTTTATGATGAAAATAATACAAAAATAAATATTCCAAGAATTAAAATAAAACTGAAAAATTTCGTGGGTTCCATAATAATACGTCGACTAAAAAAATCGGGTCTTTTTGTTAAAAAATCGGCTGTTACTTTGAAAGACCACAATTTTATCGAAAGTCAACATTTTAAATCAAAATAATAACATTACACTGAACCCATTTTGGCAAACTTTAGCGAACGTGACTGATACAAATCCATTTCATTTACTTAAAGAGTCCGAGCTCCTGGAACCAAAATGAGCTACTGGGAGATGCTTCCAAAGCGTTTCCATTTCCAAAGAAATGTTTCTCTTTAAAGAATTATTTGGTAGGGTGGAAGAACTAAAAGTCTCTTGGGGAGAGAGATCTCGGGAATATTCAATAAGGAATCGTAGATCAGAATGATATATGAAATATCAGCCAATGTGACATTAAAAAACGCCATTTTTTGGATAAACAATCGTATGGCCACCCGCCTGTATTATTATTGTATTATTATATAGTATTAAGTGGCAAAAATTTCTAGTAGTACTAGCAGCCAACACAGCGAGCATAACAGAAAACGTTTAAGAATTTAACTCTTTTTTTCTAATATACAACAGTATAAATATATTTTGTATAGCACAATCAAGCCATGTTGAATTATTTTCGAATTTTTCGATGCATCTTATGCAATCAGAGTCAAACGTTTGTTTTCATTTGTGTTTTCATCGAGTTTTCATTTGTAATATGGAGTTTTCATAAATAGTTTTTAAAGGTGCTTTTTTGTCAAGCGGCGCCTAGTTGGTTAATTTATGGATTGCAGAAAAAATTTAAAATATAATCTATAGTTTCATCGTTATATAAAATAGTGGAAATATAGAGGAAAAAAGATTAAAATTGAGAGAAATATCGCACACTGAGAATCGGCAACCATACGGCTATTTCCCGTGGGAATGTCGCATAAGATCATTCGATGCTGCAGTTATTTAAGAGGCTCGGTAGTGAGATTCGCTTAACTTGGAATTATAATTTTTTTTGGTTTCTTTACTTTTTCTTTTTCAAAATAATATTCAAAAACAATTCAAAAAGCAACAATTTAAAATTTAAATAAACGTTATTTGGCTATATCATTCGTTATGTCAGTTATTATTGCCCCTAATTTACTTACTTGTTCTAAATGAAATTTGGCATCAGTAACCTGGCTGATGTCGAACTGTAAAGTAGTCCGAGCTCAGAGTTTGCTTATTTCCTTTCGTGATAATAATGGTGGTTAATCAACAAGCAATAAATTACAAATTCAGTATGAAAATAAGAAAAGATATATAAGATATATAATTCGCGACAGCTATTATCCATTTATTGACTTAAACGATAAACAATCTAAATTTGCTAGTTTAACATGAAAATAATATTTAGTCATTTAGCAGTAATAAATGATTTAAAAAGATTTCTTAATCATAGCTGACTAATCCCACTTACTTCCATCTCCAAGTGGCTTCTAGAAAGGGATTTCAGCCGAATTACCAATGGAGGTTGTTAAAATTATGAGTGATATTAGAATGACATTTAAAAATGTTACTTTTTTATTATTAATATTATTTTATCAGAATTTCTTAGAAAAATACGACAAAAGAGGGTCTTCATAATTATAACTAACATATAACTATCATAATTTTTCGAGTCAAAACTCTTTAGGCAATGTTTCGGCGCTTGCAGCTTGCATTTTCCCATTTTTCAAAAGATAAGATGACTAAAGTAACTAAATTGTTCCTCAGAATTTTTAAAAATTAATCATTAGAAAATTTATAGTGAAAACCGTTTGCTTTAATGACATACAATTAAAAGTAAAAATATCGGTATTTTCTATATAATAACTAAACTACAAATAACTTCGTTAAACTGCAAATCTTTGAACAACGAGTATTCATTTTATTCTATTTAATGGAATGAAATAAAGTTGATGACTTAAAATAAAAAACTTTAAATTCCTCTAGTAATAATCCATAGTTTTACACATCTTCATCGTTTCTAAAATCTTATCAGCAGTAAATTGTCTGCTAAAATGCTGTCACTGAATTAGCTGAATTTTACAAAAATTAAACGGCAAGGCTATCTTGACTATAGCTTTACGTGAAGATATTACTTGAGGAGAGGGGATTCGTGGAAGAAGTTCATTTTCTTTAAATGTCAAACACGATGTTTGCTCGAAAATGTAAAAAGAAACGTTAAGAGAGATGACGCAAAAAGGCAAAAGAAAATGTTAAGCAAATTCATTGCTGAATTTTAATATGCATTTCAAATTTATATGCCTTATTTTAAAATGCGATCTGTCAAATGCCCTACTTTTTTGGTTCGATACTTCCAAATCTTAAATGGATTCCATTCTTTGTCTTTGACAGGAGTAAACTGATATCAAAAATTCAGGACCCACCTGTATCTCTATACCTAAGTGACTCTTCAGTGAAAGGGTCAAGTCTCTTTGAGACAAAATCCACATCTTCCGCGCATGCTACTTCTGACCCGGTGGTGTGCGATAAATATACGATTCGAGTAATAATAACAATAAAAGTACAAAGTACAAAAATAGAATCGAGATAAGTACTCAAAACCCGGCAAGGGAGGCAAGAACTTATCTGCTAACACTTTGTAAGCGCGGTAAGATGCTGGCTATAGCTGTTTGGGATGTCAGCACACTCATAAATGTTGCAAGCCAAGCGATCACTGTCCACACCCTCTCTAAACACAGCGTAGCTTGTCGGAATTCCATCTTCCTCATGTGGGCTCTCGAGTAATTATTTAACCTGTTTTCGAGCAAAGATATTGGCTATATCACTGTGAAGTCTCGGATAACTCGCGGGTATGAAATGGCATAGCAATTGTCTGAAAAGGCTCGATCCGCTCTGATTGAACAGAAGCCAGTAAATAACCGTATGGCCTATGCGCGTTTCAAGGGAAGATTCTACAATATTCGGTTATCAATTTATAAGCTCCAACTTTATGCGCAGATGACCGCGATAAGGATAAGTTCTATGCGGAGCTTCAACTGTTAACAACAACTCTACTGAAACATATGGTTATAATCGGAGAAAACTGGAAAGCGCGGATAAGCCATGATGCCGTTACGATGAATTCAGAAATTGGGAAATATGGCATCGAGGTGCAGTACACCGATGGAGAACGCCTTCTTTGTTTTACTAAAGAGCATGAACTCTTTGTTACTAATATATGCTATCAGCATAGGAGGAAAAATCTAGTCATGTGGAACTCTCCGGACAGCCAAAATTCTAATCAGGTTGACCATATGTAGGTTAATCACTGCTAAAAGAGTTCTTCATTTAATAGTCGTTCTTATCAGGGCGCTGAAACTTTTAACCACCATGGATCATGTTATGGTTCGAGTCATGATTCGTATAAAACTGACAAGTCATAAAACAACGCAAGATTTAAACAAACTCAAATTAAAAAATTTGAGGAATAATAAGCGCATTTTAAACCGTGATATTGAAACATCTCAGTGAAATGAACGTTAATGACATCTCTGGAAAGACGAATAAATACTGGTTCCAACTAAACACATGCCTACAAGACATACCAGCAAAGTCGGCCATTTTCACTTTAGGATAAACTAGTATGAAGAGTGCCAGTTGGGTGTCGGAAGCAACTGTCCACCTATTCGAAAAAACTACGAAAGCCCGAATATCAGGAGGTCCTGACTATTAGGTGCTTCGAAGAATTCCAAAGACAGCAGCACGGCGGGAGAGAAAGCGCTATTGGAGCGATATGGTCTTGAGAATGAAGACGGTGATTCGGATAGGTAATAATCGAAAAATGTTTCGCCTTCTTCGCAAAGCAACTATAACTCGAAGTGGTTAGTAAAATGATACGGAGTATTAACAGAGTGCCTATTAAAGCTATTAAGGATCGCATCAGAAGATGGAAAGAATTTTTTAACTACCAAATTTAACCACGATGCGCCATCTGTTGTCACGAATATAACCTATTCGACCGTAGAGCCTTACGTTTGCGACTGTAAACCGCCAACAGAAGAGGAAGTAATCTCTGTAATCCATAAGCTTTAGACCAATAAAACTCCCGGAGAAGATGGTCTTCGGGCCAAAATCTTCAAATGTTGCCCATCGCTGTTCATAATTCACCTTCAACAAATGTATTCTCTGGTATGGCAAAAGAAAATAATACCAGAAGATTGAAGCAAAGCAATTCTACTTGCAATTCCTAAGGAAGGTGACAGGATATACTGCGACAATTACCGAGGAACTAGCCTACTGGACATTTCCGGAAAATTTTTCACTTCCCTTCTGCTGAATAGACTTATGACAATAAGAGATAGCAGAATGCATCCTAATGCGTGAAGCTGGATTCAGACTACCACGACGCGGTTGTGCTGACCAGATATTTACGCTAAGAAGGGTGCTGGAACAGGTCGCTTCAAATACCAGGAACCCACCGTAACTTGCTTATCGATTTGCAGCTACCTTCCATTCGTTTGATGGAGTAGCACTCTGGAAAGTGGTAGAATATGACTATGTCCAGAGAAGATCACTCGGCTCATAAAGGCATTTTTATCAGCATACCTTGGTGCATATCTGTGTATGTGGGAACAGATAGACTCCTTCGAAAGAAGAACTGGTGTCTGCCAGGGCTGCATCCTTTCCTTGTATTCAATTATGCGATAGGCTGGATAATGGGCATGGGCATTGTCGGCACTCAAGAGGTGTGCAAATCAGTCCAGCGCATAGCATCACAGACCTTACGCGTCATGTAGTTATTTTTGCTGGCATTTATAATGGAATGTAAATAATGTTAAACAATGTTAAACAATGTGTCAACAACTGCTGCGAGAATCGGACTCAAAATCAATGTAAATAAAACGAAAGTATTTTCGTGTCATATACATCATGATGACAAAATGCCAATTTTTATCAATACATTGCCGATTGAGGAAGTGTTCGACTTGAAATACCTTGGTTCCACTCTAACTTCAAGTGGCCAAGCGAAAGATGAAGTTGTAACCCGGATGACGGCAGCTGGAAATGCTGATGAGACCTTTATGGAACCATCGCAAAATTACCATAAAGACGAAAATCCGAGTGTAACTGCTATTCGTTCGGTCTTGCTATATGGCAGCGAAACATGGCCAATGAGAATGGAACATATTAAGAAGATATCAGCCTTTGACCTCATGTCTAAGATATATTTTACGGATAATATATTTTACGGATCCGTCGAGTGGATAAAATGATTGTATCCATCTTCGCTCAACTACCTGTGTTAAAAATGTTATCGCCTTCGCTGGTTAGGGCATGTTCTCCACCACAGGAATCGATGCCTATTTCATTACTTGCTAAACCATGACTGTTGGTGCCAAAAACGAGGAAGTCCAGTCAAAACCTGGACTGATACAGTCAGGAAAGATTTTGAACGTATAGGGGGACTTAGACGATGGAAAAGACCCCAAAGTATCACAAGGATTTCTATGGGTTCGCGCTGGATGATAAAATAAAATTGCAAATTGATACTCAGTATTTCTAAATCGAAATTAATAGCAGCGACTTTACCACTTTTTATCATTTCAACCCGAAGTCATCCTTGAAATCTTACCTAACATTCAATGTATTTCTTGCAAAACCGACCTCTTTTAATCGCTGAAATGAAAAAATTTCATTTCGAAAATACTTTTAAAATGAAAATTACTCCTTGTTTAAGACTTTATGTAAATTTTTCTTTTTTGTATTCCTTATATTTTTCTCTTTATAACATAACGAAAAAATTATTTGCACCCAACGAAACCTGGAATCTTTTCGCTTACTGGACTAAATATTTTGTATTTACTACAATTTTTTGTAAATAAAATTTTTAGCTTTTTCTTTTGAACATTGAGCATTTCTAATTTGGCAGCCTCTGCTTAGATTCCTTTCTCAGCTAGGATAAGATTCCTTTGTCCTATCATTTAGGGATAAGAGTACAATGTGTTTTTTTAGCACCAAAGGTCTTAATTGAACTGAACTTAAATTTAAATTTAATTGAATTGTAAGTCTAGAAAATTAATTAATCAGTACATTCTAGAAAAATTCAAGGCAAGATTGCTAATTCTTAGATAATCCACAGATTTACAGATTATTTTTGTTATCTGATAAAATCCGGTAAAATCACAAGAAAACCTCGATCTTCGCGAAAAAATTTGTCTGGAGCGATATTTATCAATTTACCAATATCAGACGATAACCATCTCAAAACTTTTAAGGAAAATCATCTATAATTGGTACCAACAATCGTGTCAAAGAAGAGGAAAATTTGGTTCTTCCGATTTCTGGTCATATTTAATATTGCCTCGGGCCTTCCGAGAACATAAAAATTGCATCTAAATCAGTAATTCTTCTTTTTTCTTCTAACAGCTCTCATCGTTACTAGTTAAGCTGGCTCCACTAACTACGAGAGTAAGACATTTCAAAGCTGCGCGATCTGATGCCATCGTCTACAGTAATAGAAGCCATTCCTTTTTCCATCGTCTGAGTCCATACACTGCTGTTCCACGTATACGTTCAAAGTCTTTCCTGACCACATCAGTCCAAATCTTGATTGGTCCTCCTCGCTTTCGGTACCAACCATCACAGGGTTTAGCAAGTAATGAAGCATGATGGGCGAAGAATATGCCCCAATGAAGGTAATGTTTTGTGATGGTACTGTTAATATAAGCATTATTTGAACGAAAGCGGATGGGATCATATGAGATTAGATTTTATCCACTCGACGAATCCGTAAAATGTACCTTATACATGAGTTACTCAATCAGTAATAAATCAAATATGAATCGTTAACCCATTCCTTTAAGCAAATAACTTTATAACATATTTGCAACCCTCTCCTATGTATAAATTATCATAAATTGTAAAAAAATTAAAGGGCTTTAGCTTTTAATTATACTGTAGTAAGCAGGAATTTTAGGAAAAATAATACAGATATATTTTCAGGTAAAAATCCAAATTAACAATTTTTAATTTGAAAAGATTTCCAGCATATCAATAAAAATGATCAATGATGAATTTAGAAAGTTCAAAAGTTCCCGTGTCAATTAAATTGGTTAATTTAATCTTTAATCTTAATAATTACAAAGTTATCACCATAATCCATAATGTAATATAACGAAAAATCTTATACATTTTGAACTATTTCCATAGTTATTTTGGTTTTCTCTAAGCAAATTAATATATGCATAAATAACCTCAAATAACCTCAAAAGTCCAAAATATAGGAAGAGAATGTTGTGGGAAAAAAATAGATTTTTAAAAAATGAAATTCTTTTATTTTCTATGTAATCTTATATTTCAAATAATATAGACCAGATTTCCATAAAGGATAGACCCTAAGTTATCAATTACTAATAACTTATATTTACATGAAAAGAAGCATATCAATGAACTGGTGAGGTGTAACTCGAACTGAAGGTGCATCATTAGAAACACAAGGATGACCATGATCCTGAAATATCAGTCAACCATATTATTAGCCTTCTTCCCGAACAGCACTCAACACATCTGGCTTGGCTCAACCCACTGTACAATACAACTTTACCAGAGAATTGTTTGGGGAAAAACAAGATGCGTACCATTACCCAGATATGACTAACCTAGTTAAATAACTAACTATGATCAAAAAATTTTGGTTTTAATTTAATTACTTTGAAGAGATTGTGAAGCTTTTTTAAAATTCCTTTAAAAAAAAAATTTTTTATTATAATCCTTACTATATTGAATTTCTTAATTTCAGTAGATGGATGGGAAGATTTCCTCGAAGTCGGTTTCGAGAAATGTAAACAAAACGGGGATGGGAAGTATTTAAATAAAAAAATAAATATATTCAATCTTGGAAGTTTTTGGAACATTTTTCTGTGGTGAAATTATTAATAAATATCAAAAATGCCGCAAATTTCGGAAAGTATTCTTAGGAGGATGGTTGAATAATGGCCTTCTTCAGTCGAATGAACGCACAACAAAACTAAACTAAAAAAAAATTAGCATAACGCTTACCTTCCAAAAAAGTGCTTTACAGTGGCAACATAAATGTATGAGATCAGCATAAAATTCTCGTAAACCATAATATTTTTTAAGTTCGAAGAAAGTATGTCGCCAAGAATGTTTATTGTTATTCCAGTGACTAGCAATCTGTTCTTGAGTGAAATGAAAGTGGCAAAGCGATTTCCACACCTGAGCTTCACCTTCAATTATGGCATTAAACACTTCATGAGCTTTCGCACTTTCTAACAATGACGTATGGTCAGGTAGCTTCCTGAAAGAATAATCACCTTTTGAATTTCGATGAATTTCGATGGATATATCTTATTTTAACCATTAGCTAAAACCACTAGCTAAGAGTGAAAATGGTCGAATTATTGATTCGTTCTCAAGTTTTGTGGCAAAAAAAGCAAATGCAAAAAAGCAAA